CTATAACGAAAATTTCAGCTTTTTAATAAAATTTAATGATAAACCTAATATCATGTTCTCCGTACAGCTAAAATAACTTATGTTAATCAAATTAAAATTTGGTCGTTTTCATTGACATAAGTCGATTTAGGTATGTAAAAAAGTTTTTACGTGTCAAAAAGTGCTAGAAGAGCTTTTGTTTGCTTATATTTCAGTGGAAATCCAACTGAAATAGATACTTTTTGTTAAGTAATGTATATTGTACAATGATATCATATATATATTTAATATACAAACTCATTTGTTTAGTTTTATATATCAATTATATATTTTATTTATAAAAAACAAACGGCCTATTTAGACTATCATGAACGTGAGATGAACTTGACGACAACATGAACTGTCAGTTCAATATACACTATCATGAACTCTCATGAGCGTGGAATTTGTTTTGTTTTGTGTAAACGTAAGAAACGCTTGTGTAATAGTGCATATCACAGAAACTTAAAAACACCAAAATATAACATTGTATATGCACGCGTGTCAAGCTGAAAAAGAGCAGCAAATTTTTTTGCTTGAAATTCATAAAATAACATCAAATGCTCTTCCCCCTCTTATCTTTCGGAAACCGGTTTTCAAGTTCATGTTCATGATGTGTTCATGATAGTATAAAATTGATTGACCTGCACGTGTAATCTTTGAAAAGTCAGCTGGTAGTTTAGGAACCTTCTTTTCATATACTTCTTCCTTCTCACGATTAGCTAAGGGGGGTGACGAATGCCTGCTGATGTCCTCAATGCTGCTGAGGTAAATTAGTTTCAACCTGTCAATTGCAACAATACACCTGCTCTGCTCCCTCTCTTATTAATCATAAAATCCTTAGCCCCTCGCTACACTACTTGAAAAGGTCCTTCATATAGTTGTTCCAGTGGAGCCTTTACTCGATCAATGCTTACAAACACAAACTTACTAGTTTTTAAGTCGTTGGGAACATAGAGTGGATGTTTCCCATGCCTACTACCACATTCAAAACGAAGTCGGTTTCACCTAATTTTTGACGTTTTTATGACAATAGTTGTATTGGTACTCGTAAAGCACCAAGATCTTCCTTTGGGGTAGTCCTCAACCCCAGCATTATCAATGAAAATGGACGCGTCCAGTTGTTAGTGTTGTGGCGATGCAAAGCGGTTTTCAACGTCTTATGCATACGTTCGACGAAATCGGTTTCACCTGGTTTTTGTCGTTTTTACGACAATAGTTGTATTGGTACTCGTAAAGCACCAAGATCTTCCTTTGGGGTAGTCCTCAACCCCAGCATTATCAATGGAAATGCACGCGTCCAGTTGTTAGTGTTATGGCGACGCAAAGCGGTTTTTAAAACCTTATGGACTTTAGATAACTGGCATGACATGCAGTTCTTAACAAAACGTCCTTTGCTAAATCTGGCCAGACAAAACCTGCTTGATCCAGTTTACATGTCGCTCTCACCCTTGGATGTGTTAAATTATGTAATTTTGACGTTACTAACTTACGGCAACTAGCTGGGACGAATGGTTGAACATTACCTTGAATATATCGCAAATACTTCGGTACTGCAGATAAGTAATACGTACACAACGAGCTTCAAAGAAGTATCGGGTTGGTTATCAAGTAGAGGACGTAGCTCGTCATCAAAATCTTGTGCTTTTGCTATCACATTGACCTCTGCTGCTTCAAATTCGATTTGCGAAATACGGGAAGGAGTGTTGGCCACAAAATTGTCTGCTCCAGCAATATGACAATATTAGCAATATGCTGGTGTCATATTGCGGATATCATGGAGAACTGGATTATGAATTCTAGCTGTCTAGCACGTCGCGGCTATGTTTTTCGTAAACAGAAATGATAAATTCACGTCCTTTGAGTGCATACTTGGAATGCTTGGGCGATGGCGGTCAACTCTCTACCCGTTGTATTTTAACTGTGCTGTATTCAACGCCTTCGAATAGAACGCTAAAGGTTGAGTCTTACCCTCAACAATCTGCTACAGGACGGCGCAGACTACTGTATCGGAAGCATCGGTGGTCAGCTTTAATTGTGATTTTGCTATTGTCGTTTTTGCGATTTTCTGGAGTAAGATTGAATAAACGTCGCTGGTTGCAGATGACATTGTGTAGAAATGGTCGCTAAAAATTAATCATTTCCAGGAAACGTCTTAGTTCTTTCATCGTTGATAGAAGGGGAAAATCAAGTATTGAAGCTACTTAGCTTTTAGGAGGCTTAAAACCGTGCACGCTGATGGTGTGACCCAGAAAATCCATCTCGTTGTACGCAAATTCCTACTGTGCAAAATTTACCATCATACCAGCTTACCGAAGTCACTAGAAAATCATTTGAAGATATACTCGATGTTCTCTAGCGTCTTTAGTATGTTGTCGATATACGCGAAAACAAAGTTTAGCCCAGCCCTAGTTGCATTGATAAATCGTTGGAATGTTTTCACAGCGTTTCGTATGTCAAAAATCATGAAACGAAATTCGAACAAACCGATAAGAGTAGTAATCGCCGTATTCGGTATAAAACATTCTGTTACTGGAGTCTGGTGGTACGCCTTCTGTAAATCAACTTTCCAAAAAATGCTTTTCCATGGGGGATGGTTGTTACATCATGCAAAAAAGGAAACAGATACCGGTCGGGCTTTGTTTAAGCATTCAACATACGATAATCGACGCATGGTGGCCAAGTAACATCATTCTTCAACACCATGTCCCAGTAAGACGTCTTGGTTGAGCAATCTTCGGTGCACCGAGTTTCAATGAATTGTTCGACTTACTTCACTCATCAAGAGACTCATCTATAATACCATAGATTTGGATGCTGCCAACTTGCCCCTCTGCAGAACTTTTCGCTGCTACGAAAGGTTTGTTATCAACCAGTCGTTTCTGCTTCATGTGAACCAGTAGATCGTAGTGCTTAAAAAATCTGCGCCGACAATAGGATAACTTACCTCTGTAACTATAAATATCCATGTGAATAACAATAATATAAATATCCAGGTCAACACTTGATGCCTGCAAGATAGCATGTACTTGCGGTGGTAGACGCCGGAGCCAGAAAGACTTCAGGAGCTCATTACTAACTTTGTCTTTTGACAAAGCTGTCAGCTCATTAAGTTAACCGCTGTATTTTTCGTTGCTCGCTCTTACTTTACCGCTCTATAATCTGAATCTTAAGATTGATGTATTTGCCTATAGTTGGAGGGTGTTAAACTGCCACAGCTACATGAGCAACGACGCTGGACTCGATCGCAGAAACGAGGGTGTTAAATTTATTGACATTGCTAGAAATCCCTGTAGCTGCATTTCTAACGGTGCGAACCAAACCTGCGGCCATTCATGCCAAAATGGCTGCACTTTCACGGACACACCGATCTCTTTAATACAGCTTTGAAAAGAGCTTTTATAGATGAAACTAGTCGTTAAAACGACTTTTGATTGTATATATATATGACTCTTAAATTAGGATCACGTCGGGGTCGCAACTTTAGTAGAAATAGTATCCATTATTTATACACAAAGTTTTAGTAATAATAATTTCACTACTTTATTTAACTAAATCATTTAATTCCTAAATGACGTTGCAGCACCACGACGAATACATCCCTAAATGCACTGTGTGCACTCCTTAAGAACTCTTTTCAAACGAAAATTTCAGTGCGAGTTCGAATTTCACATTTGTGTTTGAACATCTTTTATATGACGCTGCCATATATTGAATCATTTATATGCATTTTATATATCAATTACATATGTATTTAATTAACAAAAACAAAGGTTTTATTAAATACATTCTTTTTCAATGCCTTTGTTTACAGCTTAGCTGTTGTTTGTTTACATTATACATATAAAACATATGGCACATATTTTAAAAAATTAATCATCCTCATTATTGGCTTTAATGAGCAAAACCGCTTAAATAAGACAGTGTGAATGTGCTTTAAGTTAAAAAGCACGAAACTGTTTTGTATGGTTAATCAAATTTTATAAGCGACCTTAATCAAATAAACTGCTTTAACGAAGGTAGTAGGAACATACTATAAGTCAAACGTAAAAATTTTGTATCATATATAATTTTAAGAACAATATTTTCACTTTTAAATTAATTGGAATAATTAATATTACTCCTTAAATATGAATAATTCCATGTTAATTTCTTTATAAAATGTTCAATAAATTATCTTCAATATTCAAAATCTGTCTATATGTCCGTACGATTTGAAAACCCCAATATAAAGCTATTTAGAAATTTGCTAAAATCTGTCCAATATACGTACATACAAATAGTCTATATACAAATTTTACTAACTGATAAAGTGAGAACAAAGTGGTTCAAACTTGCTAAAGAACTACATTATATGACATAAGCCTCTGGAAGTACTTACAAGTACAAACATCGGTGCTGTAGTATCACAATAGATCATTATTTGTACTCAAGTGAACCTTAGTGCACAAAGCTACCATTGCAACGAACCTAACAAGTTCCGGTTATTATAATAATACACCGGCCGACCTAGAGCTTGCTGTAGGGAAGTTGTTTCATTTTAACCTCGTTCTTCCACCTCGTAGTCCTCAAAGTTTTCAATGGCCATTTCAAAATCGGTGTTTCGAAAAGCCAAATTTATATAAGTATACCAGCTCTTGAGGTGATTAAAATAACCAAATAATAAGTTGGCCTTTCATAACCATCATAACCAGTATACTACGTATGACGATTTTGTATAAAACAAAAAAAAAAAACTATGTAGTTCGTAGCATGTCTTCGCGAAACATCTTCCTCGGGCATCATTTTTTACCAAAACTAGGCATATACTCTATATACTACTTTTTAATATAATAATAAAATACATTAAAAAATCTGTGAAATCCTGCAGGACATACGATTAAACCAAATTTGTATTGATAAAAGTCTCGTAAATTAACAAGTAATCTCCAGCATAATTTTTAAAGCTCGTTAAATCATTTTTTTTAAGTTAGTTTGTACTGTTACCCAAAACTTAATAAAAAAATAATTGTTTATTATTTGGAGTTGTAAAATTTCATAAGGTAACAAGAATTACATATTTATTGCGTTTTATTCATAATTGCTTTTATATCTTCAGCGTCAAGAGTCTCATATTTTAGTAATGCTTCTGCCAGAGCTTTATGCTCCTTAGTATGTCTTTTAAGTATCAGTTTGGCGCGTTCGTAACTTTCATTTAATATACGTTTTATTTCTGCATCAACAATCTCCACTGTATTTGGTCCAAGCGGTTCACTTCCCAATATACCTTTTGAAGTTTCAATAGTTCGCAAACCGACTCTTTCCGACATACCCCAATCTTTCACCATGTGTGTAGCAATTGAAGTAGCTTGTTTTAAATCACTGCTAGCTCCAGATGTTATTTTGTCTGCCCCAAAAATGAGTTCTTCAGCTGCACGTCCGCCCATCATTGTATCCATCATAGCAAGAAGTTGTGCTTTTGTTACATGATATCGTTCCTTTTCAGGAATGTAAGCAGTATGTCCAAGTGAAGGACCTCGAGGCATTATTGTAACTTTATGCAAGGGATGTGATTCCTAAAAAAATCAATTTATTTACATTTCTATAGTGAAATAATTTGACTAACCTTAGTAAAATACGCAACAATCGCATGACCTCCTTCATGATAAGCAGTAATTAAATTAGCTTCTTCATCTGGTAGTCTAGCTTTACGTTCTGGGCCCATAAGAACTTTATCTCGAGCGGTTTCTAAATGTTTCATTGTAACCGTTTCTGCCTCATCAATAGCGGCTCTAATTATAAAAATATGTAGTGTAAATGGTAGCAATAAATGAAATATGTGATTTTTAAACACCTTAATGCTGCTTGATTTATCATGTTTTCAAGATCAGCTCCCGTGAAACCAGAAGTTCCACGAGCTAAAACATCTAAATCAATTTCATCGTGAAGTATTCGAGATAAATACAATGAAAGTATTTCTTTTCTTCCAGTAAAATCAGGAGTTGAGACTACAACCTAAAAATTAAATTTAAATTAAATTTAAAATGCACTTTTATTTGTTGTTTTTAGTGATTACTTCAACATCAAAACGGCCGGGTCGAAGTAGAGCTTGATCTAGATCATCTCGTCTATTTGTTGCTCCCAAAACTATAACACCAGCATTTTGATGGAAGCCATCCATTTCAGATAATAATTGATTTATGGTCTGGTTAGCGTATGGATGTAAGACAGAATTCGTTCGTTTTGCACCTACAGAATCAATTTCATCTATAAATATTACGCATGGAGCACGCTGCTTGGCCGCTTCTAAAATAGATATTCATTTAATATTTTTGTTATATATACAGCATTA